TTGGCTCCACAATCCTTTCTCCACCTCCTGCAGGTATTCCTGAGTGTTTCCTAATGTTTGGCTGTGGGTATCAGTATCTGCTCACATCAGTTGCTGGAGGAAGCCTCTCTAATGACCATTGGACTCGGGGCAGATCTGTCAGTATAGCAGAGTATCATCATGACTTTTTTTTTGAACAGTCGTGTTTGATTCTACCCTAGGTCTCTGAGCCATTAAGCTTCCAGATCCTGGCCATCCAGGAAGTGTCGGTCATGTGCTCCCATTCACGGCTTGAGCCTTGAGTTAGCCTGTCAGAATGGCTAAGATCAATAGCACAAATGACAGCTTATGCCGGCCAGAATGCGGAGCAAGGGAAACACTCCTCCATTGCTCGTGGGAGTGCAAACTTGTACAACCACTAAGAAAATTAATATGATGATGGTTCCTCAGAAAACTGGAAATGGATCTACCTCAGGATCCAGCTGTACCACTCGTGGGCATATCCCCAAAACATGCCTCATCCTACCACAAGGACACTTGTTCAACTATGTTTATAATAGTTTGATTCATAATAGCCAGAACCTGGAAACAACCTAGATGTCTCTCAACCAAAGAATGGGATAAAGAAAATGTTATATATTTACACAATGGAGTGCCCCCACAAAATCTTCTCTTTATATATTATATAGATTAGATATTATCCACTCTCTAATGTTCTGTTACAGCCACAGAAAATGAGCTAAGGGTATCAATGAGATTTCTTGGGTGAAGGTGCCTGCCATTAAACCTGGTGATCTGAGCTCCATCCTAAGGACACACAGGGCAGGAGGAGAGAACCCACTTTCTCAACTTGTACTTTGACCTCTACACACACACCCTAGCATGTGCCTTCCCTCCATGTGCACAAAACAATAGCTGTAATAAAAGCCTTATTAATGGACTAATAGAGGACCCTGGGGAGTCCTCAGGAAGGCGATTTAGTTAGACTGTGGGAGGAAATCAAGAGGCCAGATAACAAAGGTGAAAATATATTGCAACCAAATGATGGAGGGCCTGAGTGCCCGGGTGAGGAGTATTCTTCACTTGAGGAGGCTGTAAGCAGACGATGATCTGGCCAGAGCCCCTGGTTTGGAAGAGTTAGCTACAGCTTCCCAGTGTAAGCCAGGGAAGAGTTCTGAAAGCAGAGTGGAAGGCTGCCTCAGGGGTTCAGGACGGAGGTGAGCTCCAGGAGACAGCAGTATGCTCACGTGGGAGGAGAGACATGGAGACAATGTAGGGAATGCTCAGGTGTGGTGTGTGCTAAGTGGAATGAGGGAGACAGAAATATTCACAGGTAAGGTTTCTAGCTTAGAAAACCATGACATAAGAGGGAAAACAGGTCGGGTTGTTTAGGACAGGAGATGAGGCAGATAAAGAGCTCAGTGTGGATGCACTGAGCGTGAGGAACTGTTGGGACACTTAGAAGACATTCCACGGGGTATTAAAAATCAAAGTCTGGTTCAAGAGACACAAGGTTCAACTTCCAGTAATGAGAGGCAAACATTCTGTTTATGTTGGTCTTTTTCCCTCCCTCCCTCCCTTGCTCTACCTCCCTCCCTCCCTCCCTCGTTCTCCCTCCCTCTCTTTCTTCTCTCTTTTACAAAGGGTTTCTTGCAGCCCAGGCTGGTTTTGACCTTGCAGTGTGGTTGAACATGACCTTGAACTAGTGGTTCCACTTCCCCAATGGTGGGATTCCAGGTGTGCACCACTCTGCTTGGCTAATAATAAGCATTCCATCAAGGAAAATTAGAAGTGTTTGGCAAAAGGATTTTGTTTTTAGTATATGAGTCCATGCATGCATATTCATGTCGGAGTGTGGGGATGTGCCATGGCTGTGTGTAGAGGTCAGAGGCAAGTCCCAGGAAGCAGCCTTCACCTCCTACTTGGCATATTTTGCCACTGCCTCCAGCAGGCTCATCGGCTTGTGTGCCTCAGGGAGGGACTCTCCTGTGTGTGCTTCTTCCCATCTCACTGTAGAGCTGCAGGGTTACAGACTTGCTGTGTCCATGCCAGCTAGGGATTTGAACTCAGGTCATCACACTTGGAGAGCAAGCACTTCCCTGAAGCATGATCCTAATTAGTCTTATCAATTAAAAGCAGGAGTCGGATATCGGGGTAATAACCTGAAAGACCAGAGCAGCAGAGCAGCAGCCACTAGAGACTCCTTACCTCTGTGAATCCTCAGACTGAATGAGCAGAGATCCTATCTCCATCTGCTTGATGTTCCTGCCTCCATCTCCCGATTGTGCTGGGATAAAAGACATGAGCCTCCCAATTACTGGGATCAAAGGCATGAGCCTTCCAAGTGCTGGGATTAAAGGCAGAGCTGCCACCAACTGGCCTCTATGGTTAACTAGTAGCTAGCTCTGCCCTCTGATCTCCAAGCAAGCTTTATTAGATAACAAACAAAATATCACACAACACTCCCCCTGCAAAAAAGATTGTTTTATGTATTTATTTTCTGGTGTTTTGAGACAGAGTCTCTCTAGGTAGTTCTGACTATCCTGGAATTCGCTATGTAGATCAGGCTGGCCTTGAACTCATAGAGATCCACCTGCTTATACCTCCTAAGTGCTGAGATTAAAGGCATGTGTCACCATGCCCAGATCCACTCCATTTTTTAAAAACAATTTGTTTTAGTTTGTGGACTTTTTAAAATTAGATTTACTTATTTATGTATACAGTATTCTGCCTGCATTTTCCCTGCATGCCAGAAGAGGGCATCAGATCTCATTATAGATAGTTGTGAGCTACCATGTGGTTGCTGGGAATTGAACTCAGGACCTCTGAAAGAACAGTCAGTGCTCTTAACCTCTGAGCCATCTCTCCAGTCCAATCCACTCCAGTTTTTGAGACTGGGTTTCTCAGTGAACTGGGAACTTGCTGTTTCAGCTAGACTGGCTGACCATCGAGCTCAGGTCCCCCGTCTTTGCCTTGCCTAGTACCAGAGTTACAGATGCACACACCAGCACAGGCAGTTTTTATGTGGGTCCTGAGGATGAGAATTCAGGTCCTCGTAATTGTACAGCAGGTAATTGACCAGCCGACTGATCCATGTGCCTACACCTGTGTTGCTTTCTAGTGGCATTCCAGGGTCTGGAGAGATGGCTCAGCTGTTGAAAGCACTTTTGGCTCTTACAGAGGACCAGAGTTTGGTCCCAGCACCAAAGTCAAGTAGTATACAACTACCTGTAGCTCCAGCTTCAGGAGATCCAACACCTTGTTCTGACCTCTGTGGGCACCTGCACATGTCACACACACACACACACACACACACACACACACACACACACACACACACTAAATAATAAATAAATAAATAAATAAATAAATAAAAATAAATAATAAATTTTTAACTCTTTAAAATAATGGACTTGGCAGTGGTGGCGCACACCTTTAATTCCAGCACTTAGGAGGTAGGGGCAGGCAGATCTCTGTGAGTTTGAGGCCAGCCTGGTCTACAAAATGAGTTCCAGGACATCCAGAGCTGTTACACAGAGAAACCCTGTTGTAGCTGGTCTTTCTTTGGACTGCCAGCCAGCTCCTAAATAATGACATGGAGACTTCTTATTATGAAAGCTTGTTCCCAACCAGCTCTTAGAACTTAAATTAACCCGTTAACATTAATCTATGTTCTGACACATGGCTCATTACCTCTGCGCAGTTCCATGTGTCCCGTATCCTCCATGTCTGGCTGGCGAATCTTAGCTTCTCTTCTTCCCAGAGTTCCTCTCTCTTCCCAGAAGTCCTGCCTATCCTCTCCTGCCTAGCTATTGGCCATTCGGCTCTTTATTAAACCAATCACATGTGGCAGAGGCAGCTCTTCACAGTGTACAAAAGATTATCCCACAACACCCTGTCTTGAAAAACAAAACAAACACAGAAACAAACAAAAATATATAAACAAACAAAAATATCTGATAGAGGGAAGTGAATCTCTATGAATTCCTGGCCAGCTGCAGGTACTCAATGAGACTGTCTAAACTAAACTAAACATAATGGGATCTAAATTTGAGATCCACTAAAAGTACCAACGAATGGGGGTGTGGCTACAAGTAAAGCACTTGCCTAGAACATAGAAAGCCCTAAGTTCCATCTCCAACAGAAGACGTTGAAGACCCCCGCGTTCTGTCATCGTACTTGCCCCTGAATTCTGTCTTCAGGAGAATTTTTTGTGTGCTTTGCTTGACTTTTGTTGGTCCATCCTCTTCATATGTCCAACTCACTTTATTTATTTATTTATTTTTGGTGTTTTGAGAGGCAGACTCACTCTATAATTCATGCTGGCCTTGAACTCAAGGCCATTTTCCTGCCTCAGCTTCCTGAGTTCTGGGATTGCCAGTGTTGACTACGATGCTCTATTGATGTCTCTCTAGAAACACTTATGATTATAAGGCTCTAATTGTTAAAAATTCTGTGTTGGGGGTTGGAGGTAGCTAGCATTGTAAGGTCCCAGATTTGATCCCAGCACCACAGAACAAACATTTTTTTCCCCCATATTGACTTTCATTACACTTTCAGTGTACATTTCATCAGAGGTACATAATATACCAGAAAAGTAATAATAAGGAACTATTAAGTGTTATATAGAAATGATTAAACTATTAAATATTACATAGAAATTTCTGTCTTAGAGGGATGGGTAACTTGTATTGTCTGTTGCTGTGTAGTGATTATCTCAAAATCTAGCCACTTCATAACAAACATCTCACATGGTCTTTCAGGCCAGCATCTGGACAAGCACAGCTGGGCAGCTCTGGCTCAGGAATGCTCCCGAGGCTGTAGCCAAGATGTTGACCAGGGCTGCAGCCCTTGAAAAGCTTCCCTGAGGCATGAACATTCACGTCAAGGTCACTCTGCGTTGTCGGTGTAAGCCTTCTGTTCTGAGTTACAGGGTCCTCTCCAAAAGGCTGCTCACAGCACAGAACTGGCATCATCAAAGTGAGCGATGCAAGTGAGAATGACCAAGACAGAAGCCAGGATCATTTTTTAAATAGCTTTATTGAGATAGACTTTACATACCCTGCCATATTCATTCATATATTCAGGGTTTTGTATCCAGCAATGATGAGCAATTATAATCATGCTAAGACATCCCCAACACCTCCCGAAGATCACAGCCCTTGACAGTGGCTTCTTCAAGTCCTTCTAGGCCTGGGAAACCACAGTCTGCAGGACCTCACTCTGTAGGCTAGGCCTGTCTGGAACTCCCGAGATAGTCAGGAATGACCTCTTACTCCCTGCTCCTGCCTCCTCCTCCCACGAGCTGGGAGTGCAGGCCTGTGCCACCAAGTCTGGCCATCACTGAAGGTTTTAACCTTAAACTCAGCAGGCTAAGGTGCTTGCCAAGCCTGACAACTTAACTTTGATTCCCGGGTCTCATATGGTGGAAGGAGAAAGCTGAGTCCTGAGAGGGGCCCTCTCTCTGTTAAAAATGACAAGCGGTGCTGGTTACCAGGCAGAAAGGTCATGAGGCACGAGCCATGACGAAACCCAGTATCAGAGCTTAATTAGGAGGGGTGGCACAAAAGACCCAGGCCTGGGGGAGAAGCACGTGCAGGGAGCAGAGAGAGGGAGGGGGGGGGCAGGAGAGAAGAGAGCAGAGGAAGAGGAGGAGTCTGTGTCTGGCTTTTTAAGGCACAGGTGGGCTTACGGAGCTACGCATGATTGTGACCATGCCACTGCTGCCACCACCGCCGCTGCCACCATGCACACGTAATCACCAGCGCACACTGACAATGTAAGATGCAAGACCCCTTGCTTAGCTCCTGAACTGCACATGTGTGATCATGCAATTGGAGTGGGGGCAGAATCCTAACATTCCAGACTTTTTGCTTATTACAAAAAAGTGGGTGAACAGGAATAGGGGCATTGTTTCTCCCAGAAAAACTGCTTCCAGCTGACTTGGTGGGTGTCAGTTGACTCTTGGGGAGGGGGATGTAGGGAAGGGGGCTTCCGAGGTAGACAGGCGTCCTGGGATGGTGGGCTGTCATCTGCTACCTCGGAGCCGTTCATCTTTCTTGGCTTGGCACTCTGGCTGCTTTTGTGGCTGACAGGATGCTGGTGAGACAGAGAAAAGCTTAGAAGAAAGAATTATTATTATTTTTTATTTTTTCCTTTGGGAAAGTTCCCAGGGTGATAGAGGGGGTCCTGAGACCAGGGAAGTTTGGGTTTGGCACTTATCTTGAAGTAGATCCAACCTATCAGATGGGTTTAAGCTGGTTTCTGGAGCTTAGGAAAAAAAATTAAACATTAAGAAGCAGTCACAAGAAAATTAAAGTCTTGGCTGGTGACCATTGTAGTGTTTGGTACTCTGTTTATATTGGTTAGTATTAATGAGTGAGTGAGAGAGAGAGAGAGAGAGAGAGAGAGAGAGAGAGAGAGAGAGAGAGAGAGA